TATGTAATACACCGGGGTGGTCGGTAGGTCAACGGGTAGGGACGTGATGTCCCTCTCCCTTGGACACACACACACACACACACACACACACACACACACACACAAATTCCATGTATTGTATGTAATTATTAACAAATATACTAAGTCTGACATCTTCATTGAGATTTTACAATCTTTCAGAGAACATCCTCTAATAAGCTCACTAAACAAATATCAGTTCACAGAAATGTTATTTAATTTCTACAAGTGACATGTTTGTATTGAACAGGTTATTTAACAGTGGAATAAAACTATTTTAAACTATTGGAAAGCACGGAAAATGTGTGTTCATTCAGATTAACCATTAAGATGACATGAAGTCATGAACACTAACCCAGACATTAGTTGTCTAACTTGAACCTAGCTAAGCACTTGTAGCCAGTCTCTGCTGACACACAATAAGTGGAATGTCAACACAGACACCTGTCAACCCGCACTCTGCTGTTCCTCAGCGCCGCTCCCCCTCCCTCCTGCTGAAATGATGAATGAAAAGCGTAGTAATCATAGATAACACGGCAGGGCCCGTGACAGTTTGTTTTCATCTAATTTCAAATAAAAAAAGTCTTAAACTTGTTTCGCCAAATTCAGAGAATAAATACAACTTTGAAGCTTGTAAAGGCATAATTACAAGAGGTAACTTAAGGTCACAGCAGGCATAACAACAGCCGGTGTTTCTTGTGAGGGTTTCCCCGGGAAACAAACAGAATACACACAAACAGATTATTTTTGCGGTATTTGGCTCCCGAACGAAATCATGCACGCAGCTCGCGACGTAACTAGGAGTCTAGTGGACGGTATCAGGCCGCCATTTGCCCATCCCTGCTGTAGTGTGTTATACAGGTTTTGGTGCATGTAAATGGTCTGGGAATGCTCAAATCCCTGTGTTCCCTCCACACACTCCCAACAAATATGAACCTGAGAATGAGCAGAGTCCTCTTTTAAGTTATGCACGTCAATAACATCCACCATCGCCTACTAATGTAGCCTTGTGTAAATGCACTCTGATTCTCGTAGCACCACAGTTGTCTTTTGCTATTAAGTCTCCTTCACACCTTCCTTGACCTTGTTCAGTTTTCCATCAAGGTCAAGTAAAAGTAGTTAGGAAAGATATCCTTCAGAGTCTTAAGCTACTCATGTTCTTGGGTACAGAGGTGCTTTGGGCTAGCACGCTCACAATTACAATGCTAACATGATTCCTGTCTCTGGAATGAGTCTACCAGTACATCTGTGTTATCTAAAAATAACACCAGCCATGTAACTGTTGGTCTGTAATTTATATCCAATGTAAATTGATATCAAGTTTAAGAGCGCTTGCACAAACACAAATCCCACACAAACAAATAAACCCACAGGAGCAGACTTCTTCAACATGTTTCCAACTTTTCTTTTCTCACAGAACATTTCCTTCTTTGATGAAGCCAACACAAATCTAAAAGGGGTGCTACTTGTGTGTGTGTGTCTGTGTGTTCGTGCACCCTCAACCCCCGCCCACCCCTGACATGATCAAATGTGTCAGGCCTGGGACTGCCAACGTTTAAACCTCATCTCTTATTCACTCGCAGCCCCTCCCTCTCCCTCGCTCCCCGCACCATCATCCCCTTTCCCACTGCCCCCGCGCAGGAAGTCGCTGATTTATTTTGCATGGCAACTATGAATTTTAAGTGAGTCCTATTAAAAGAGTCTTCTCAGCCCCTTCTCTAAATGTTATTGCTCCTTAACGGGGGCTATTTTCTCCGACTAAATCTGTGGCCTTGGCAGAGGAAGTTAACATCGACAGAGCTCGTGCTTGCTAAGAACATAATGACAGCAAGCAATGCGTGTTAATGTGTGAATAAAATCATATGTGCATTACAATATTTTCTGCTTTTGTTCATATGTATGAGCACATTCTCGGATGAATATGCATATCTGAATTCATCTGAGATGTTTCGTGACCTTGTATGTTGATTTGTGAGACGTGTGTGAATGAAACAGGTTTTTGTATTCAAGACCTACACCATGTGATGTAGACAGCAGTATCTAAAATGTTCTACAATCTTCCCAGATCTCGGTCGTGCTTGAGTGTCCCGAGCCGCTGTGAGGCTACTCGCTCGCTCCCTCCTAATCTCATCTCCATGCAGCTACCGTGAAGCAGTCGCAGGGCCCGGGGCTAAACCTATTCTTTTTGATGGCCCATAATTGCTCGGTTGATGTATATTTTTTAATATCCAGCGATATTACAGGGGCCTGGTAATAAAACGGGGGCGGGTAGAGGAGAAAGTGTGAGTGGGTAGAGGGGAGACAAGGGAGAAAGGGAAAGCTGTGGGGTGATAGAGGGAGGGAGAGGTAAGGGGAACAAAGACAGAAAGGTGCAGACAGGAAGTGAGGATGTGTGGAGGAGGCTTCAATCTTACAAAAATGGGTTTTCAGAGACATGCATTATGGGTGATTTTTTGTCTGAAATTGAGCCGTTGGTGGTTTCAAAAACATCTTTTATATGCAAACTGGTACTTTTCAAAGCCACGTTACCTAATGATCTTAGTTGTGAACTGTCAGTGCGGCAGCTAAAATAATAAGACCATTAAAGAGGGAGGCAAAATTAATTTGAAACAATTTGACTCAATTAATCGTTAGTCATTTTTCAGCCCATAACAGCGGTAAACAAAAGCAGCTACTCATTTGTAGAAGCCTATGGTTGCAACTAACATATTTTTGTTATTATTATTGTTTATGGCGCTTGGAGGTACTTGGAGGATACACACAGCTGCAGGCAAACAAACAAGAATATAAAATGAAACAGATAATGTGTAATCTTTTTTAATCTTCCTCACATTGCTGGAAACAAAGATAGCCAGAGAGTGCAAATAAAGCAGAGAAACACGCCGACTGCTCTTCCCTTGAGCCTTTTTCGCCGGCTTCTAATTGAAGTATTGACGGATTTAAATGAGGCTGAAATGCACTCAAGAGTTCCAGTGTCTCCTAACATGCGCACGCACACACACACACACACACACACACGATGCATGCAAGCAGAATGAACACAATGCACCATGAACGGTTACACAAATAAAAACAGATGTGATTGCAAAAACACAAGAAGTGGAACCCGCCTAAGTAAGAAGTAAAATATATTTGTACACACACACACACACACACACACACACACACACACACACACACACACACACACACACACACACACACACACACACACACACACAGAAATGGACATGATGGTGTGCACAGTAATGGTCTCTCCTTTTCAAACCAGTCATGCGAGTAAGTACACTTTTACAGAAAGCGTCTTGAGTGTTCGAGTACAGTTTGGGGTTTAAAGGGCATGAAATGTGATCTGTTGACGAGTGACAAGCGTGTGGCTGAGCCAGCATGTGCGGTCATGACCGAGCAGCCAATGGCAGCACACAGGTTGATCATAGGCCCAAAGAACTCGCAGCAGTTTCCTGTAATGTCAGTTATTCCAGCGGTGAAGATGACACGTCAATGCTAACCGAGTTATAAGTGACTGAGAGGTTTGAAATGACACTGCAAGAGACACTTCATTCAGGAGTAAATGGGCAGAGTGTAGAAAGACACTCGCATGTTTTTCATCCATATTCAGTGAAACCACAGTCTTAGCTTCAGTATCTATTAGGGTTGCACCATTTGGAAAAGATTGCGATGTGATTCACGATACAGGAGAGTTGATCATTTTCATTTGTTTTCTTATTATCATTGAAAAATATATTACATGATTATGTTTTGATTTTTTCAAGAGTTTCTGTACCAAACCAGTATGTTTTGGTGAGTCTGAAGTATTAGTTTTTTCAGACAGAGGTTGAAAACAGGTGCTGCAGCAAAGGCAGTATGAGACAAATAAATGTGTCCATGTTACAGTAGAGGCACAACAGACTAATATGAACCTGAACATGAGCATGACATGTCCTCTTTAACAGCCCAGTTATATAAGCTAAAACACCCTGTATTACACAAGACTTTGCATGTTTGTACTTTTCATTAGTTGGAATGATAAATTATTATATTTTTATATTATAAAAGACCCCCATCACCCCCAGCCACAAACTGCTCTGTCTGCTGCCGTCTGGCAGGCGTTACCGCAGCATCAGGACTAAAACCACCAGACTCAGGGACTGTTTCATCCCACAGGCAATAAGACTGTAAAACACCTGAACTGCTGAAACAACATCCATAACATTCATCTGCTACTTAGAAATTATGTATCTATTTCTCTAATATATCGTATTCCAATAACTTGCATATAGACTTTTATTTCACTATTTCAAAACATTTTAAACATTACATGTTACTTGTTAGACGCTTTTATCCAAAGTGACTTACATACTCAATACTGTGGACAATCCCCACAGGAGCAATTTGGGGTGAAGTGTCTCAGGGACACGACGACATGCTGACTGCAATGGGGTTTGAACCTGTGCTCCCCTGATCCGAACACCAACGCACTATTCCACTGCGCCACACGCCTCGACTATTTTTCTTTTTTTATTGACTTGCACTATATGTTTCTGTCTATCTGTGTTATTGTGTTGCACTGTTGGAGGAGCCTGTGACCTAAGATGTTCATCAGCATAACTACACTGCAGCTATGTTCGTATGACAAAATAAAGAATAAAGATAATAAAGGATTAATAAAACATGTCTTAAAAATCAATGTTGGAGTTGGATGTGCTGCTGAGAGTGGAGTGTTGTGTAGCTGCAGCCTCAGTGTTTGCTCTCGCTTGGAGGAAAATGGAAGAAAAAAAGGTTAGCACAGCCATAGGTCAACTCGCTGCATAGCAACTGGGAGCCACAGTCAGCAGACTGACCTATGAAAACACAGCCAGCGTGTTTTTCTCTGGAGCTGCAGCACTGACGGCTTCACACAGCTCCCATCCTCGTACACTGCGAGGCTTAATTACAGTGACACATGGATATCCACGGCATGCCAGCTGATATTAATGATAACAAGTGCACATCTCTCTAGAAGGAATTCATTTTTTGTTGGATTCCTTTTTTTTTAAAGAAAGGTCAGAAGTCAGGGACAGTTAGCTACTTTCCACCCCATCACTTTGAAGTTTGTGTCCCTTGTAAATGTCAGGTTCTGTACATGTTTAACACAGTTGTGTTCTGCATATGAGCCTCTAGGCTGGTAAAGAGAGACAGAAGAAGAAGGGATAGAGAGAGGTGTGCCTGTCAGCGGGGCTCCTCGTGCTCCAGTTTGAAAACAGTAGCTCAGGGAGAATAAGCCCCTCTCGCATCTAAGAGCCATGAACATAGGGAGACACTCGTAGCGCTATAGGGGAGCTACATGCTAATGCTCACTAGAGGCAGGAGACCTTCAGTCAGGGACAATGACATGCCTGCAACTGACACAAAAACACACTTAGTAACGGGACAATAAGCAGTCTGAATAGGGACATGTTTCCACTTTTCTGTCCTACGCTGTTTGTTTATTTGTTGTCATCTCACTCATGAATAAGTCAGTTTCATAACCCCTTTAATTATTTCCTTAAAGGGGACATATTATGAATACATATTGTAAAGCTTGTGCATACATATGGGTATCTGGTGTTCCTACAAACAAACGAGGAATGAAATAAGTCATTAATTGTAGGTATATGTCGGCTGCCTAGGTAAAAAAAAACAACAACAAAACCATGGCATATTAGTATTTTGTGTCTCTACATGTTTCCCTGTTCAAAAAGCTCTTTACTTTTCTCATACTGCCTGTGCTGCAGCACCTCTTTTCACCCTCTGTCTGAAACCAGAGCCCAGTCTGCTCTGATTGGTTAGCTGGCCAGCACTTTTGTGATAAGTCAACCACTTAGAGATGTCCAGCCTATCATGTACAATGTGTTGGAGCGCTAGCCAATAGTCGGAGTTGGAGTGCTACAAAGTGATGTAACTATGTTCCGTAAGTAAACAAAGGAGTCCAATGGAGGTGTTTCGGGGGGGGGGGGGGTTTTTAAGAGGGGGTATTAAAGATCCAGGAGCTTAAAAGCAGAGAACATTTCACCAAGTAAATGGTTCATCACAATATATTTAGGTCAGTGAAAGTAAGACAGACTGTGCCAGAATCTGTACCTCTCAGACTCAGTTTGTTCCACATTTGCACAGCTTGTGTGTTGAATATGCTGATGTGCATCTCGCTTCCTTCTCGACTTTAACAAGTTCAATCTCGGGCCGATCAACTTTACGAGGAGTACAGATATCTGTAAACTACTCGCGCGCTGCACCAACCCCCAGACATTAAAATACACAATGATTACTTCCCATCAGCTGTTATTGATCGTGCATCAGACGCAGGCTCTTACTTTTGACGGTGAGGTACATGGACTTGCTGACATCAGCTCCCACGTCGTTGCTGACCTTACACAGGTAGAAGCCGCTGTCGTCCTCCAGCACGTGTTTGATCAGCAGAGAGCCGTTGCTCAACAGCGTCACTCGAGAGCCGCTGTTCAGAGGGATGGGCTGGAACTGAGGGACACCCGCACCTGGGACAGAAGCAAGACACAAAACATTTTGAACGTTAATAATGACAGAATAAGCATTTAAACAGAGTATACTATCGAAGTCTTGATAAAGTCCGTACAGTCCGTGCAGTCATGACATATTTTGGCAAGCAATGGGATTTTGTAATACTGCAAAAAATGAGATCTGTGGCAAACACCTTTATGATGCCGACACATTTCGTTCAGCAGGAAATTCAGCATATCAATCTCTTCAGCTTGTGGTAATCAAAGACATAAAGAAGCCATAGAGAATATGGAACAGGAAGTGGTCGAATGATAACACATTTTCAGATTTCTAAGACTCATTCTTATACCAGTCTATATAAACCCGTAATTTTCAGTATAGAAAACTATGTATAACCCTAACACGGTACACAGTGCTTGCGGGTAAGCAGTGTGTGTCTGCGTGCACATTCATTTGACCATGCGTCTGTGTTTACAGATTTTATGACAAAGCCCGTCAGATTAAGCGAGGATTGTAAACATGTTTCTTAACACCAGGCCTAAATCCTTAAACCGCCAAGCAGCTGCTGAGCACAGGGAAACAGGCCGAGCTGCTGCTGTGATGCAATCACTACAGACATAATGCTCATGTTCAACAAGACAGCAGATTGGTGCAGAGGAACACCAGGCAGAGAGCACAGAGGCCTCTCGTTGCTGCTGGCCTTCAGCACTGAGAGCCTCAGAGATGTAGCGAGTCGGTATTTATTTTGAACATTTATCCCTGTGTGTCTGGGTTTATTCTTCTTATTTGTGTTATAATGACTGCATATATGGCCTTGGACGAGGACAGACTAATCCTTAAGGCCTGGATATGATGACGATAATACTTCATGGTCAGATCAAGTTGCTTGCATCACAGCAGCTCCATTTGCAACAGCAACAAGGACAAATATGAAGACAAGATACAAGAACACAGACATTTAACAATCTATTACCATCACTGAAGAGTGTGTTGAGATTAAGGCAAAGTGGGAAAAGTGTTTGTGATTTGATCACTGACTTTAATCTCAGAATTTAGACTTTTTCCTCAGAATTCAGACATAAACATCACTTTTGGTCAGATCCAACACTAACACACTCACGACCTGGTATTTAGCTCAAATTGTCTTTAAGCGTGGGACTCAGTATCTCCTATTTTTCTGGTTTGAGTTACTCTGCGGATACAAGCGGCCGAGATGGGTTTTCTCCGCAGGGTGGCTGGCGTCTCCCTTAGGGATAAGATGAGAAGTTCAGTCATCCGGGAGGGACTCGGAGTTGAACCGCTCCTCCTTCACGTCGAAAGGAGCCAGTTGAGGTGGTTCGGGCACCTAGTTAGGATGCCACCTGGGCGAGGTGTTCCAGGCACGTCCAGCTGGGAGGAGACCGAGGGGTAGACCTAGGACCAGGTGGAGGGATTATATCTCTTCGCTGGCCTGGGAGCGCCTTGGGATCCCCCAGTCAGAGCTGGTTGATGGGGCCAGGGAAAAGAAAGTTTGGGGCTCTCTGCTGGAACTGCTACCTCCGCGACCCGACCACGGATAAGCGGGAGAAGATGGATGGATGGATGGATGGAGTTACTCTGCAAATATATTTTCCCAATTCTCCATAGCCCAATAGGACTGACACTTGATATCCATCACTGAAGCATCTGTGAAAGAATTGGACTGGACATCTCTGACATATTCTGGCCTTCTGCCTGCGTGTAATTAATACCTATCTTTTTAATAGAGAACGATATCATCACTCTTGTTCTATTGTCAAACAATACAGTATCTCATTCTGCAATGGTGGCATTTAAATCTATAGGAAATGTCAGTGACAATGAATTATAAAGCAAATGTCTGCTCCTATAGAGATAAAGCACTGTACTGCACCTCGCTCATGTAGTATTAAACACATGTGTGAACTGAGCCAGACGCTGCATTAGCTTGTGTTAAAGTTAGCGTGTAGAGATTAGGCTATTTAGTGCGCTGTGGGTTTTTGCTTTTTAATTAAAATGCAGTCAAGTGGCCGTGGCAAGCAAAGGGTCAAGTGGTGACTTTGTTCCTGCTCCCCTGGAGAGAAACAGAGCGAGAGAGAGATGTGTGTGTTCTTCCTTGAATTATGGATTTTGCATATCCAAATGGAGCTAGTCGTTATGCTAATAGTGGTTGACCTTTACTTACTGCTCCATATCTCCCAGAGACACTCATCTGGCGCTTAGCTAGTGAAATCATGCCAGACAGCCATTCTCTGGACAAACTGCACTCTGGCCTACAACAAATTACACGATAGCTTCCCAAGCCACCTTCCCTGGATAGGATTTCTGTTGGAGGGGATGTTCATTGCCTCTGTGCTCTGACTGATTTCCTGCACAACATATTACAAGTCACCAGGAGAGATGTGAATACAATGTGGTAAGAATATGTGACTGCTGCAGTATGCGCCAACTGTGCGTGCTGCAGTTGCTCCTGCTAGATTTTCAATATTTTCACAATACATTTCTGTTTCGATCGTTTTGATCTTACTTTTTCTGTTAGTCATTTCTATTAACAACTAATCAAGCTGTGCCCTCTCTAAACTTTCTTCTAGAGATATTTAGTTTGTTGTTTTTGAGTTGCTAGTGTTGTGCATCTACGCCACTAAAACGGCATGTCTGCGTTGTTTACACCAGGGACAGCTGATCACACTAAAGCCAGCTAGCATGGTGGCTAGCATAACAACTATCCCCACTGAAATCTGGAGAAGGACACAGAGGATGTTGGATAAACGGAGAAGGAGATACAAGCCGTGTCTCCCCCCCC